TATAACCGACTATGCAGAACTTGCAGTACAAAATTAATGACATTTATGAGCACGTCAGACAGTCGGGCCAGCAAACGTGTGAGAAGATGAAAACACGGTATGACCGCAAAATGAACAACAACGTGTTTGACGAAGGTTCACTTGTGTGGTTACACAATCCAGCTCGCAGCAAAGGGAAATCTCCTAAGCTTCAAGCTAAATGGGACGGACCGTACCAGATTGTGACAAGGATCAATGACGTAACCTACCGGATACAGAAAGGTGCCATAGGTACTCCTAAGAACGTCCATGTGGAACGAATGGCGCGTTATTATAGGGCCAATAATGCTCGGGACGAGCATGTCTTAGGAGGGGGCAGTGTTGCGCGCTACTATTATTGTCTTGTACATGGCAACACTAGTTACACTAGCGCCCTCTAGTGTCGAGTAGCGGAACTAGGAGAGTCAAGATCCTTCCAGAAATTTCGGGACCGATATATGCTCGAACATTCTAGTCGCTACAGTGGAAGGTTCTGGAAACTGTCTGAGGCCCTATATAAAGCCAGTATAGACCACGACCAGGGCAGTATTGAATTGGCGATACAAGAGAATACTTCGAAGCGAAAGAACTGCGAACTTAAGTGATCAGTAGTACAATTGTGTTTTATTATTAGTGTGGTTTTAGATTGTAATTAGTGTTGTGTAATTTAAGTGTCAATTTTGGTAATTCAATCGGCAGTTTTTAATTGTCTCGAACCCCAAGCTCGTAACAATATTACTCTACTCTATGCTTATACCACCAAAAGAAATTCACTTAACGAATTTACGCTTCCACATTAGCACAACCGTTATAAAACTTACCACTTTTTTCACGACGAATTCATATTCATAACGCGCTAATGTGGGCCTATTATTATTAACCTTACGCTCACCTTAATATTATGTCGCTAGTTGGTATTATGTGAACTCATTTGTCACGTTGATGGTTACGGTGGAATATTTTAAATACCTACATAAATCCATGTTCTGTTTTTATAAGAGAAAGCGCAGTGATGATAAGATGACTACTCTAACACTACTACTATAAAATGCTAGATTCAGATTAACACTTCGTTTATGGTTCTTTTGTAAATACTTATTTCAAAAATATCTGTTTTGCTCACCCTACCTAAATGGTTTGAATTGACAGCTAAGACGTTACAATATGGTGTCAGGTCGGTCTTATTCTTATTTGAATCGCATAGTATATACCTACTGCGACACGCTGCGTTTCGTCAGATGTACCTCGATTCTGTTTTCCTGACGTCACAGTAAAATATTCTTCCCGGCTGGTATCACCGGATAGCAAATCTCAAACCGATTTTGCGAGCGCTTCGCAGCCCCACCTCCATCACGGTCACAGTGCAGCCCCACTACGCATGCGACTTGCTCTGAACCACCCGGTCGCGAACGCACGCATTTTGGCTACCTCTTGTGAGGTACCTGCGGGTAATAAGGCCCTAGCTAAGGGAAAATCGAAAATAAAATAAGAAATATCTAATTTGAAAAATTTACAGGAGAAAATCCTAGTGTTGAGGTAACGTTTTTTTTTTAAAAAGAGAGGAAGAGAGACAAGTAATGAAATCAAACATTTTGTATAACCGACTTCAATATTAATACGCATGATATGCGTATCAGGACGCTCAAGATCGCTCACCGAGCTATGGAGAGGGCTATGCTCGGGGTTCTTCTGTGTGATAAACTTATAAATGAGGATATCCGCAGTAGAACCAGAGTGACCCACATAGCCCAACGGATTAGTAAGCTGAAGTGGCAATTTGCCGGCTCAAATTACCGACAACCGATGGGAAAAAAAGGTTCTCGAGTGGTAGTCTCGTACCGGTAGGCGAAGTTTAGGGCGACCTCGCACTAGATGGAGTGACGACCTGGTAAGACATGCAAGAAGTCGATGGATCAGGACCGTGCTTTGTGGCATTTTTTGGGGAAGGCCTATGTTCAGCAGATGAAGGGCTGTAATGATGATGATGATGATCATACACATTATTAAGGATAACTCCAAAACTACTGGTCAGATCTTGCTCAAATTTATATGATATGGGCTATATAAATTATAAGCACCAGCTTTCAAACACAAAAAGAATCATCAAAATCGGTTCATCTAGAAAAAGTTCTGAGGTAACACACAAAAAAAGAAACAGTCGAATTGAGTACCTTCTCCTTTTTTTGAAGTCGAATAAAAATAGTAAGTAGGTAAATTATCTGAGTTTCAGACGTTCACGTTGTTATAGTTTTGATTTTTTTCGATGTTACATATTAACCTTCCTCACATTGAACAATAATGTTCTTATCAGCAAATTACTAATACATTGCATAACACCTCGGTGCATTCTATTACCAACTAATATCAAAGGATTAAATTTGTTTTCTCACAACACCGGCCTGAACAAAGACGAGTAATGGGGAGTTTTGGCGGGAAATTGACCGGCGGCGGTTTGCTGCTCCTGTATTATTGTTTAAATAATGGTTTGAAGTGGACTTTGATATGTAAAAGTGTTGCGATTTTGTGTATTAAGTGTCTACGCATGTGAACTATTAGTGGAAACAGTGAAACAAGTGCTCTGATGGTGATGGATTCTCAAGATAAGCTGTTTGTTTGCATAGGCACCTTTAGATACCATCGCCAACTATCAGCTGTCTGCTGGATCAAGTTGCCGCCAAAATCTCCCAAGAACTGCACAATGTGACGCATCAACATATTGTGAAGCAGTATACTATGAAGGAGTGGGGAAATTACAATAAACCGAATAAAAATACTTAAGACTTGGCCTAAAGGTCTAGATACCAGGCCATAAACTCCAAAAAAAAAAAGACGAGTAATGAACTAAGTTATACAGACTCTCACACGCGGACGTAAGGTGCATTTTGATTTAATACGGGCGCCGCATTAATGTTTTTCGACGATTTAATCGGTAGGCTATTTTAACCTAGGTCGTATCTGAGGCGTGCAAAGGTTTACCACAGTATAAATAAATATGAACAGTACGGAAACTACGCCTAGATGAGGATATAATTACCTACGCTCCATTGAAGCTCCATTTTTTTTACATTTTTGTTCTGTAGTGATCAATCGAATTTAAATCATGGCGTCGGTTAATCTTCGCAAAAGACTATAAACACGGAAAACAATTTACAAAAATTGAGTAATTAATACCTATTGCAACCGCCATCTTGGATTTACATTTCGGCAGCACTATCGGCTTCAACACCCTCGAAAACCATGAAAATGACACCCATGACGAAAAAATTGACACATATTGCAGCCGCCGTCTTGGATTTACATTTCGCCAGCACTATCGTCTTCAACACCCTTGAAAACTATGAAATTGACACCCATGACGAATAAATTGATACCTATTGCAGCCGCCTTCTTGGATTTACATTTTGACAGCACTATCGGCTTCAACACCCTCGAAACCCATGAAAACGGCACCCATGACGAAAAAATTGATACCTATTGCGGCTTGGATTCATTTACTTTTGTTACCACTATTGAATTATTAGCTTTAAATAGCCTCAAAACCGCCGCATTCTGAATTTACAAATAAGTTCACGAATTCATTATGATCGATCACACGGACTTATTATTCGATAACGATTATAACAATAACAATAAAAATCATTCTTACCTTTCAAAATCAGCAGGAAGCTTAAAATACGATAGCTCCGGTTTTGATGAAGCCGAGTTCAAACAGCCGTATACAACGCAATACGTTCGTGGCATTTTTAAAAAGTCTTGCCGCGACATTCGCTACTGAGAGCACCGCGACGAGCGCTTAGAAGTCTCGTCGTTGCGCATGTTTGTGTGAGTGTGCCGTTTCGAGCGTTTGTAGGTAGTTTCCGTACTGTTCCTACTATGTATTTATACTGTGGTATTAAGAACATTAGGCAACGTTGTAACTAGGTTTAGACTTGCAAGTTTGCTATCAGAGAGTGATCCTTCTGTTCTTGTACTATTATTTATTCTGTGCTTAGAGTCAGTGTTGTTGGGTTTTTGGTGACCGTAAAAGATATCTTTAGACGTTGGACATGATATAAAAAACCTGGTATACTTAATGGTACAAGAAATAAAACAAAAACAACTTTATAATTATCTATTAAAACTTAACATTGTACAAAATATACTTAATACTACTAATACTAATACATCCTTACGTTTATAAAACCTAAATTGCACACACAGAGAAATTCAATCGATTCATATGAAAACAGTTAATTTCAGTAATTAAATTCATCACGCCAAAATAAATAGCACTAAAACGTGCTTTTCATAAAAATACGACGGCGTTCAAGAAATTATTTGTAAATCAATGTTTAGAAAAGTTGTACAAGACAAGTGTAAAACTGTTGGTTTTTAACTTTTATTTCACAAAATTGTCAAAAGAAATAAATATTCGTTTTAAACTAATACAATATTATGTATATTAAAAAGAAAATGAAACCACTAAATGGCAGTGAAATTGGGTTAAGTATAAATAAAATAAAACACCTAAAGCATTTTTTACATTACAAAAATATCCTTACAATTTCCGACAATAAATTCACACTAAATGACTAACAGGATCCTGTAACAAAATAATCAAAGGCTCGTGACTTGAGATCAACTATAAAAATTAATGCTGGGCGATTATGAATAACAAACAAATCTTTTTGCAAATCGATTAGTCTCAATAATGATCATCAGAAAATCGATACGAAAATAAAGACGTTATTAATTTTCAATACAATCGTTATATATTCTACCTATCTTAGACAATTTTTATTTAGAAATAGCTCGGTTACAAAGTAATTCATAATCGCCAACTCCAAATTATGGTAACCTTACAGGCGCGTTCAAAATAGCAGTCTTGTATTACACAACACACATACGTTGCAAAAACTTCTTCACGTCTGTTAGTGTCGTGTAAAGTTAGGTGACGTTACAGTATGGTCCCTAAGGGTGTGTTCACCCGAGTAATGTGTTTGTCACTCGTGTGGCATATCCTCTTGTAGTAACCAACTTTCGTTCTCAGCTCGCGCTAACTGCTTCTTGAGGGTACAGTATAATTTAAGTAACGAGTCCTGGAAGAAAATAAAAAAAGATTTATATCGTGCGTAAAGAGGATTAATCCAGTTGCGTGGGTGTGTTAAGCCGACCATTGGAAAACTTCGAAAATACGAATAAATAAGGCTTGTATGTTTTTTTGAAATTATCCTAAATTGAATGTGAATTATGGGCAACTACTACACGTACGCGCGATCCTCTGTGTGCGATTCAATTCACAACGTTTTTGCCGACCGAGCGACCCTTGCGAATGTGTGCGGCGTGCGTAGTAAAATAGTAGGCGTAAGATATTTATGAATGGCAATCGGTTAAAATAATGAATTACCACGCATTCTGAATTTAAAAGATAAAAAGGACAGAATGTTTGGGATTTCTTTCACTATTTGCATATATTACTTATTCTGATCTTTCTTTGCATATTTGGCCGTATATTGCAAAATAACCCTCTATATAATTAGTGAGGCCGTTGGAATTTTACGGATTGATGAAGATGTCGCTTTAATTACTTCCTACTACTTACAATAGATCGTAGGTAGGATAACGCTCGGAATACAAAGGAAAAAGATCTCTCGGACCCGTTAAAATATGGTCCCAGGCAAGCACGGATTTAATCCGTCGCACAAGAAAATATTTAAGTTTTTACTACATCGCCCAAATACAATTCGCGGCCATCCCATTACGATTTCCACAGTCGTTTCTCCGGACACTCGATCCGTTTTCTTAGCACAATAGGGTGGTGATGTCTTTCTATAACGTATACAGTAGTGTGCAGTTGATCACACGTACACCGAAAACAATTTATTCCTGGGCGCCAGTGTTAATAAATTTCCCTCCGAATTCAAATAGATCGCGTGTAGTTCAGTCAGTAGCATTCCAAACTAGTATGTTTTTTAGAGCGAGGTGATAAGACTGTACGTAGTCGGAACCTTAGGACACAACTTGGTGCTTTTAAATATAGGTAAAAGGTCCCACAAGAGAATTAATTCTCTTATGACTTAACCATTTTATATTTGTTCTTCGTCCCTTCACCCTGGGGCGATAATTACGTCGCGCTGCTCTAGTCTGTATTGGCGGATTTACATGTCTTCGAATCATTGTTATTCCTCAAACATCCTTACGATGTTTTTATTGAAAACGTAATAAATTGTACTTATAAGCTATTAAGAGTAAACAAACAAATTCAATCGGTCATCTTTAGGGAAATATTAAATTTTTTGACAAATTACCTTCTCATTTTCAAGTTGTATAATTTCTCTTTTCTGCCGGAGCTCGTCTGAGTCCATATTTTCCTCCAACTCTGATTTGTGATTGCTCAAATACGCTAACTCAGTCTGCGTCTGGAAACGATATCAACACAATAAGCTTTTTTATGGAAGAACATTTGTAAAAAAAAAACTATTATAATTATTGAAGTACGCTCACAACTAATATATACACAATATTACATTCAACATTAAACTTCTTTGATTGCCACAAATGCCTTATAGCTGCCTAATCAGGTCTTCTAATGGGAGTTCTACTTTGCTAGTTGCCAGTACGAGAACAATTCGAAAATCTTTCTCACAAATAACTTTTGGAACTATTTGGCTGGTCTATTGAAGTACATCGAAAGGTGGTCTTGTGTTACCGGCAATATGACATTTCATCTTAGTCCTCTGAGGTAATACGGATATAGTAGTTGTTGGAAACACTTCGTGCTTAGGTCAAATTTTAAATAAAACGCTTATTGAGACTAACTTTAAGGTACTCTTGCGCTAGTTGCTTGTGTTCCTCGAAGATGCGCTTGGACTCCTCGTTGTTGAGGTCCGGCGAGATGGGTCTCAGGTGTGGATCGAGCATCATGTGCATGGAGTCGAGGTCAGGGTCGGGCTCCGACGGTGGCTGAGCTCCGCCCTCCGCCGGTGTTGACCCGCTACTGTTACCTGGAAAGAAATGGTGTTATCATATATTACTGATCCTGTGTTGCTTCATTGAAATATTCCCATCTTACTCTCTAGAGGTTTCAACGCATCTACATTTTGATTGTTAGTCGAGGATAGATGTAATTGTCTATAAGGTATTTACCATCATGTGGTCTGTTTGGTCGTTGGTCATTTTATAGAAGGATGACAACTGTTCGAACTAACCTTTTTGTACTAGTCATCATAGGCGTGGCTCTACCACGTGGCAAAAAACTACCACACCAACTTGTTTAAAAAAGAGGCAAAGATTTGAATTTGTATCGAGCTGTTTCCTTTACATTGTTTACATATTGTCAATTTAATGTAACATATTAGACAATCCAGTTCTAAGCAACCATAAAAATGAAAATAGTGATAATTTATTTAATTATCAAATAAGTTAAACGCAACAGCGTATTTGTAACCATGCGAAACGCATTTTGTGCTATACTGTAAGATCAACCTTGATAGTTTCTTGCTAGAACCAGTTTTGGCTGAGAAAGACAAAGATGCTTGCCTCAATTCTCTTTAGCAAAATGTCATGACATTCATGTCATGATTTGACAATTGCAAAATATTACTGTCTGTTCATAGATGTATATAAAATCTTGTAACTCTCACTAGTGTTTACACAGTGATTGGGGACTACGACGATCGTGAAATAAACAATAATTAAGATTCAACTGGTTTATAAAAATCCCCATCAGCCTGTAAATGGTTCGCTGCTGAACAGAGCCATTACAAAAATACAGAGGATTAGCCAATTATGCCAAAGCCACGTTTAGTGGGCGATTAGCAAACACAGTACCCCAAGTAGTCACGCACTTTTGACGCTGCTTTCCATAGACGGTCTAGAGATTTCATATCTGCCACAACATTTTACTAAGTTCATTATTCCGCTTCTTAGACAACCACGGCATAAGATAATAGTGTGATGAATTCTGTCATACCGTCACCTCTCTACACTACGTATCTTATATGAAAGAAATATTTTAACAGATAATTACACATAATTTTGACCGTTGAAAACTGATGAAATTCTTGATTGGATATGTAATCGATATTCGTAATTAGTGAGGTAAAGTTCCATATAGAAGCTATATCTTTGTTCGCTTATGTTTACAAACGGTTACCGGTTTGGATTAACTATGTTTAGCAACTATGTAGCTGAAACTAAGCAAATGTAGCATGTAGGTAAGTTTTGAACTTTATCTTTTTTTATTTATTTGAGGTTTTATGAAATTTACTGTATTTGAATACTTCTAGGTATACTTTTAATTCCGGAATATAAATAAAAAGTTGGGATTAAAATCATTTAGTGAAATAACGCGAGTACATAAGCAATAATCATTTTGAAAACATATTACATCAATTGAATTCAACAAGTTAACGGTGTTCTGAGCATTATTAAATAAGTCAAATCTTGTATTATCAAAAGCTTACGTTTTTTATGCACAGATATTATTATACCACAAAACGTGATTGTTATAAATAACTTAAAGAAGAGGAAACAATTGTGATGTTCTTTTTTATAAATGATGATATTCTCAAAAGAATTAGTCGCAGTTCCATGACAGGGTTAAATACGTCAAGAGTTAATTTTACTTCGGGTTGATGATGTCAGACGCTTCACCTAGATTTCTGCTTTGGACGTATGTATATTCCTTTCCCTGCAACTAGATGGCAGCAGCGTTCTGTTCTGTACAAAGCATAGATGTTCGTGTTGGCACAATATATTTCGGTAAATTCTTCTTTCTTATATAAAATATCGCTTATAAAATTCTTGTATAAAATATCGCAGATCACAAACCTTCAGGGTTGTAGAAAATAAGTATGTATATAACATTTGTTTACGTAAACCGAAAAATCGCATTCTACCGCGCTGGACCGATGTAGGATGCGGAAGCGCACGGTTGCTGAAGGGCCCAGGGCTGACGCAAATCACGATCTAAACGTTGGGCAAACGTTATGATCCTCCGGTGGTATTACGCACTAGATGGAGATGGAACTCCCCGAGCGACACTCACTGTAAAATATCCAACTACAGCTGACCGTGTCCCTTATGGTGGTGACGATGCCGGCGGGGGCGTCACACGCGTCGCGACGTCGCAGGCGCGCGGGGGGCGCGGGCAGCGGGGTCATGGCGCGTCCGCTCGCAGAGACAGTGCGCCGAGCACTGCCGCGGGGCCGTGCACGCGCCCGCCCGCCAGAAATAATCAGCGGGAGAGCCGGGAGCGGGCGGTGCAACAAACAAACCGCCGCTATTCGTGGTGCGGTGACTCAGCGACGTCAGCCCGAGCTAAATGCGGACACCGTGCGCTGCCGCCCTTCGCGAGGTTCTCCGCCGTTCGCTGGCAGGGCGCGCGCTGCTGGTCGCAGCGGGTCGACGACCCTCGCCTACGTAGCCAGTTGCATTCGTCAACTGCGGGTCTACCCTGATTCTTGACGTTTCGTGAAGAGTCTTTTGAGATCCGCAACGGTAATCAACAAACAACCAATCCGAGGTGACGAAATCTCGGTTATGTCAGAAGAAATATGTTTACAAACATAAGGGAGGCCCATAAGTGTCTGCCAATGCACGAAGGAAAGTTCCGAAATGACGTACTCTATTGATACGTCCGGTGCTTTCTGTGCAATCTGCGAAGTTTTCAGAATGGCCATACCTTAATCACCCCGTTAATTAAAAACTCATTAATCAATTTTCCCTCAACACACTAAAGAGGTTGAAAGGTAAGATGATAAAACAAATGCGAATCATGTACGATAAAAGATATAACATATTAAGTATTTGCCAATTTGCCAATGCGCAAGGGAGTTTTCCGGTCAATAGAGAAATACTGAACAGGTACCTACCTACGTCCAGTATCTCCTGTAGATTTTGCAAAATGACTAAAGAATGACTACTACGTTTTATTCATCGTTATTCGTAATTAAATTACTCATTAATCAATTTGCTATCAACACTTAAGATGAAGATGGACACATATTTAGAAAATTGTAAATCCAAGCTGTAATAGACGAGATGACAAAGCAAATGCGTTTCTTGTAGAACAAAAGGGATTGACAAATAGTAGTAATAAGCATAAATATAGAATATTATGCGACATGTTGATATTACATAGTAAGGTCATTATTATCTAAGCATCTGAGGACAAAAATAATCACTGACTATTGTTTTTATCAATCACATGGTTGCATTACGTTGCTGTAATGTTGTTGGACGGCACTCGAGTGCATTGAATGCCGACTCCATTCCTCAGGAATGAATTATCGGCCAAACGCTGACTGTGTTATAGGCGGCTCTATTGCATCGAGCGGCTACGCCATGCACTGGTCAAAGGTGCAGTGCGCAAAAGAAACGTAGATGCTACGTAGGTGAATTTTACTTCCAACATGTGACATACGTTAATGACAGTCACTACAAAACGGTCACAACAGTCAGGGCTGTAAGGTATTGGCAATGTTTCCTTTTATCAGCCGACGAAAAAATCAGAGGTGTTTTATGTTTATAGTGTGTATTTGTGTGTCTGTCCGTGGCATCATATCTCCTGGACGGATGTACCGATTTTGATTAAATTTTCTTGGTTTGAAAGACGTCTTAATCAAGAGTGTTCTTAGCTATGTTTCAAGAAAAACTTCAAATAAAAGATGCCTGTATCAGCCTTAATGCGATTCTCACATAGTGCGAGCTCTTGTCATCGAGTTCCACCCGAAATGAGCTTTGTAAAAATTCGATCATTAGGAAAAAAAGATGAATAATCTATAGTAAGTCGAAGGGATATTATCAAATCAAAATATGTAATAATGAGAACAAATGATAATATAAAAGGTACTTTTTCTCTTATTTTGGATGACTACTGGGATGCAAAAATCTATGGAGTCACTTTGAAATCAAGACTTTTATACTTTTACCAGCAACTTTAAATTCGCAGAACGTTTTTTTTTATAGAATAAGTGTGACAAACGAGCAACAGTCCACCCGAAGGAGAGTGGTTGCTGCGGCCCATAAACATCTACATCTTTCTTCGTTTGCAAATTAAAATGGAGATGCGTTGTGAGGTCAGGTGAGGACTACGATAGAATGCCTCTTTTCCAGTAAAAAGGGTCTCCGGTTCTCTACACTCACCATACGAAACACAGCAGTCCCCGGTCGAGCCGACCCATTCGTGCTACAACTATACTATTATATATATGTAGCTGGAGGACCTAAGCACTATCCGTTGGGAGGCACCTTAATAGTGCCTAGGTCTTAAGTTAAGGTAGGTAGGTCTTAAGTTGACATGGACAAAACAAAGATCATGTATAATGTCCATGTCACACCTATGCCGGTAGTTGTTGGGAGCACTAAGCTCGAAGTTGTTGACGAGTGTGTTTTTTATGACAAATAGTCCGGCTAGGTAAGTCCAACTTCGACCGAGAGGTCCATCTACGGATTCAACTCGGCTGGGCAGCGTTCGGGAAATTACAGCACATCTTCTCGTCAACTATACCTCGAAACTAGAAAACGAGACTGTACAAACTGTGCGTGTTGCCAGTGGTGACCTATGGAAGTTTCTCTGCGTGATAAACTTAGAAATGAGAACCAGTGACCGACATAGCCCAACGGATTAGTAAGCTGAAGTGGCAATGGGCCGGCCATATAGCTCGAAGAACCGACAACCGATGGGGAAGAAAAGGTCTCGAGTGGCGGCCTAGTACCGGCGGAAGAAGTGTAGGGCATCCCCCCACTAGATGGAGTGATGACCTGGTAAGATATTCAGGAAGTCGATGGATACAGGTGGGTCAGGTTGTGTCATTCCTTGGGGGAGGCCTATGTACAGCGGTGGACTTGTGAAGGGCTGTAATGATGATGATGATCACGAATTGTGCCGACTAAGCTTTTGATATTAGATTACTGAAAACATGTTATGAAGTGTAACGTTAAAGAAGACGCTTACTCCACTTGCTATTGTGATTGCTGGTCAAACCAAGGAGTAATTTCAGTAAACAGACTTGTTTTGACCACCCTATAAAAGGCGTTGCATATGGAATTATATTCATTATAGTCCTCATCGTAGTCATGAAATCACCTAGTTAAGAAGTCAGTATTGTACTGAATTAGTTTTAATTCATTATTGTAATGAAATAGCAATGAATGTCATCGAGATATATTTGTTATTTATAAAAAGCTTCAGCACCGGTCCTTGGTTAGTAAACAAAAATGAGTTATTTAGAAAAAGTGTGTTCAACAAGGTGATTTAATTACTAATCAAAAATAGCGTCATCGAAGTAGTAATTAATAAAGGGTATCGGCGCTGACAGCACGATGAGCAAGTCGCTGACAGATCGTCTCCGCACGGTCGCTGGATGATGAGTAATGTAAGCCACATTTTACGACGTAAACTTTAATGAGCTTTAAAATTTAAACCAGGAAACAGTAAATTTTACGCGTATTTTAATCTGGCGTGGTAGATGTAAATCCATCGTAGAATTAAAATCACGAATATTGAAACACGCATTGCTCAAACAGTTGAAAACGCATGAATTTTAATGCAATCAACTGCAGTCATATAAAATTTCTAACAGTATCGAAAACTAGAAAATCGGTAGGTTTTTAGTATTGTAAGTTTCATAGCTACACAGAGTGACGGTGCTTTTAATATATTACCCTGACTAATAAAACAATAAACTCAAATTAAATAAACGACACACTTGCTGTTTCTGATGTAAAAGCCACTAGGAGTTGAATACAACTACATCCAATATTTTCAATCCTTATATACGACATTTGTTTTCTATTTTCATACTAGACACATTTAAGAAATGTTAGATGGACAAAACTTATTCTGTGCAATGGGCACATTGCACAGAATAAGTTATCCTATATATCCTATGTATTTAGTATAAAAACCAAGGAAAATAGGAATACTAATGAGAATGGGACTCACAGTAATGCCTTTGAATTAGTTAAGGTGTAATATGTAAATTATAATCGCATATGACAAATTTTATAGTCGCTTCGAAAATGGCCGACTCAATATAAGTTTACACGTACACTAAAACAATATTATGAATATGTCATGGTAACGTTTAAGAAAAAGAACAATCATAAAGTTGAATGTAATCGATAAGAGTTAAAGTAAACAGCCTATAATACATCTAAGGCTTTTGCGCTTCTACTGACTAAATTGCTTTATTCAAATTGAGCAATATTATATTTAACAGAAATAGTGCCAAAATACATTTAAATTCCACACATCTAAATTCTAAATCCTTTCACAGCGATAAACTAGACGTACAGATGAAAACTACTGAAATGATTAACGTTAAGCTATTCTTATACCACTGTTATTTTAATTAAAAACTTTAATGTAATAACCATAAAGGTTACAACGCGCGGACTCCTATTAGTATGTAATTTATAGAGATTTTATGATAGTCACAAGTTTATGTCACATGTATAGCAAGTATTCTTAACAACATGTATAGCAACTGTAACATGACCATCGGTATTTTTTATTAGCATTACTATACACCTTTTATAAAATTCTTCACGAATTACGCTTTATTTGATATCATTAGATTTCACTCGTCTTTAAATTATAAATGTAGCCATTATATTTCAAGTCAGAACGATTAAAGGGATGTAAGGGAATTTAAACAATACAGTTTATTTATATTTTTAAACATAACCAGAGCTTAATTTTTTTTTTACTTGTAGCAACGTTACAGACGACACGCAATAACAACGACATGTATGGATCTAATGTGAAAATTAAGGCCAATTTTAGGTTTTTGGTTTGATCCTTTTGGTTCTGGAACTTTCGACCTTAACAATGGGCCTCGTGAATTACATGTCACTTGGACGTGTACAGTTTATTTATATCTAACACAAAAATTACTGCAGAAGTATAATACGAAAATACAAGTTTGCTTACGTTAGACCAACATAACCTCTACATACCTAGTCAGGTCATATCATGACACGTATTGTCACACAGTAAAAACTTTTTTTTACAATGCTGGTCACAAAAAAATTTATTGAATTCGAATCTCGAATTGTTCATGAAAATAAAACTGTATACTTTTTAGAATTTTACTCATTTTTAAATATGGAGTGGACGCTTAAAGAAGACCGTGTTGCAGTTATTGCGTTGCATCGT